ATAGATGATACTAATATCTGCGTGGAAAAACAACCCATCCCTTGCATATTTGCAGACCTCCCAAAGCACAAAACTTTGAAAAAGCACCAATCTTTCATAATGGGAATATGTGTAGCAGCACAAAATATAACCTCCCCTGCTAGAACGTCCATAGCTACGATTAGATTGAAGGTAGCCAAGCTCAAAGTCTTCAGACACATCCAAGTGAGGCATTGGTTTCTATGCCATTGAGATGGTACGAGAACCATGAATATAGGTGAAGCTCTGTCAGAGCCTTAGTTACAACTGAGAGGAAGTAAAAAGTTCAAGCAGTTACAGCAGCAGTTACATCTATGACATCACAGCATGACATCACCTGTTATGAATGAACTGTTATGGATCAGAGATCCTGGAGTGAAAATTAGCTTTATTGGTAAGAAAGAGGAAGGTGATAAGCATGTAACATAAATGTTTACAATTAGTATACATTTTATATGAATTTAAAACTTTGTGATCTTTGTAAACTTTTCAAACTCCTTTCTCTCCTTTTTAAATTCTTAGAGATATTTACTTTTTATTATATCTACTTGTGCCACTTTATTTCCATCCTAGTAGTGTCTCTATTCAGTTGTCATTATGTGCCTGTTTCTTCTCTTTTTCCATCCCCAGCCAACATACGGTTATTCTCTATTGCCTCACATGAAAGCCACCATATTACTATTTATCAAAAGAGTGCATTCTGAAATTTAGAGTGAGTTAAGCATATTGTAATTGTTAGAAAAAAAATCTATAGAGTATTTTTACTAATTAACTGTAATTCAACCCAATTCTCATTTTAAAGTGGTTTTCTCTCTCTCTCTCTCTATTCTGAGCAGAGATGGACAATCAGGGGTCCCAGTAAAATCCTTGGATCCAGAGAGCACCTGGGGGTAGGGAAAAGAAAGCAAGCAATGGCAGACTTAAATTTTTCAACTTTGCACAGCCCAGCAACATGTGAGTATGAATTCTGGGAGCATGCATACTCTGTCATCATCCTTCAGTTTGTATGTGGAAACTGCAATGAAATTAAGAATACATTTATTTTGGTACACCCCATTCCTCGAAAATACAAATTCTTATTCATTTGCACACACACTTTTATATACATACATATGCATAAGCACACACACACATTAATTTGTGTCCACCACAGACAAATATACACAGAGAAACACCCTGATAAGCATACACACAGACTCATATACACACATTCATATATCTACAGACTCATACAAACATACACACTTAATTGTTATTTTATTTATGTTTTCTACAGCGAGGTCCACCCAGGTTCCCTTTTTTAATCTCGAAAGGGAGCTGTAGGGAACCTTATTCATGGAGTCCAGTGGAGAGCTGCTGGGATGTGATTACTGCGCACTGATTACTCATCTCCCAGCAGCTCTTTACTGATGTTGCGACCGGGATGACATAACATCAGGGCTCCCAACATCAGTACAATGTGAGCAAAGGAGTAATCAGTACAGAGTGATCCCAGCAGCGTCCCCGTTTCCCATTTTAAAAATTTTACAACAGTAGCAGAGCAGGCACTTGCCACGTGGCACCTCTGCCAGCAACGCACTGGTAGGCTGGTGTCTCCTCTGGTGAGAGGTAGGGTGCTCTGTGCACCCCTTTCCTCCTGTTACCAGGGGCAGGGTGCCATTAGGAGGGGTAAAAGGAGGCTGACCAGTGCTGCAAAATGCATCTGTGACTTTGCCCACTAAGAGCGGTCCACGGAAGAGGCGTTGTGTCAGCACTTTCTGCATGATCTTAGTGCCCTGAGTCTTGCGTCAGCGCAACTACACTTTTTGGGTTCAGTTCCCAGGAGTTCACAAAAGCAGGACATGAGGCAAAAAGGTTGGGATTGTGGGTCAGGAACCTATAATAGGGTCTGGACTTATAATGAGTAAAAGGAACAGAGGGAGCGATGAAGAGAATGTATGCATATAGCAAAGGAAGTCTTCCTATGAATTTTTGTTGGATTGAAGTTCTAAGGCCTTGAGCATAGTGCTCGCTCTATGCTTAATTGGGACAGTATCCTGGTGTCCCCAAAAACAGGACAGCGGAACACGAACTGAAATTCCACCAAAATCAGGACAGTTGGGATGCCTGGGTAAATAGTGTGGTACAAATGTTTTAAAAGCAGTCTGACAGTATCACCTTTCATCTCTGGATATTCCAACAGACATTTGCATCTCCACTTTCATATCCCACTAACTAGGATTGCTCTTTAAATATTTTACCACACATTCTGCCTTGCTTTCAACACAATACTTCTCTGGTGTAAACAATAATTATTCACCATTACTTCAATAAATGCCCTCCAATGTTTGGGAAATCTCATGCACAGTGCTAAGGGTATTCCAGTGCTATCACAAAAGACCACATTAAATAACTGGAATCATAGGCTAATGCAGAAAGAAGCCAGGGCCTCCATAACTCAGAGTCATTGCAATCTTCATTCAAGCAGCTGTATCGAAGAAGCAGGTGGAGTGATTATTCCTCCCAGCTATGGCTGTGAGGAGCATTGTCAAGGGTTACCACGACAATTCTCATACTTCACAATGCTTACGGCTAATGGCGGAGGTTCATGCTAGAGTCTGTCAATGGACCACCAGGGATCTGTATGTTTTCCCTTCCTGGATCAAGGTAAGAAGCGGATAGGGGGAATAAAGGTAAACTTTTTCAGAAATAATAATAGTTTAATAATGAAAAAATATTATATTGCACCCCTTTCTCCCTAGCCACAATACAGCCCCTATCCAAACCCACATATTCACACACGCTGCATCCACACTACATCCATTACACACACTGTATCCACTGCAACCACTAAATCCCCTATAGACACATTAGATTCAGTTTGCATAGACTACATCCATACACTGAATCTACCAAAACACACACATAGTGCAGCCCAAATACACTTGCTACATCCCTTATAAACACTACAGCTTCTATACACACAATACAGCACCTATACATACACACCACATCTTATAGACAATAACACACACTGTCTCCCCTAGTTACACATGACAGCACCTAGGATACGTACTACATCACAAACACTGACCTATTTACACCACAAACAGCCCCCTCTGCACACACACACACAACCCACAATCCTATAGATGTATGCACAATACCCTTTATTGGTCCTTTTGCCTTCTGGAGGAGGGAAGGGGA